TAAGCTTACAGTTTTATTTTCTAAAAAATTGATTTTAATATGCAGTACTTAATATGCACATTTAACCACATAACTCTTTTAAAAGCACCACCAAGTACTAGTGTTTTCTGTGAAATGGTTTCAAATACTATAAAGTTTCATGTTCCATCTGAGAAATGTTGGATTGATTGCCATATACTGAAGACCTCAGTATACAAATGCTAGTTGGGAGTAGAAACACACTTAAATTTGGTTCTGTATTATGTTTAAAGAAAACTTGAAAGATCAGTCATGTAATGATGCGATACACTGAATATCATGGCTTCCCAACCATAGCAGGGAAATGCAGTTCAATAATGGATGACTACAGTGGAATTCACTGAAGTCTGACTAACATCATCATTTATGAGAACTCTCAGCCTTTATTACTTTTGAGAAGGTAATTTTAAAGTTTTGGGTTATAATTTTGCATACACTGAACCTATTCCATTCTCAAATACATATACAGTAAAACTAAAAAAAGGGGGGGGAGGGGGTCAGCATTGAGAAGATATTGGGGCAGGATCATATCTCTTTCACTATCATTATGATGTTCTGAAGGTAGAATGCCTAAAATCTAGATGTATAATTAAAGCAGGATGGATCAGGTCCAAGACGTTCCACATAGATGATTTTCTGTACTTAATAAACTGCTGGATGCAATTTGTTAATAGAAGTTAGAAGTGTCCATACTGCGTGTGTTTGTGTTTATTATAGTGTTTACAGCTGGCTGGTGAGGGAATCCAAACCCTTGAACCTTGGTGTTACAACACCCTGTCTTAACCAACTGAGCTAACTGGTCAGCCCCATGCATTTTGTTTTTGTGGGCCCTCCTCATCTAGTTTTATAATTAGTTTTAGGTTAGTCTTATAGAATAATATGATAGAAAAACTCAGTAATTACCAATCTTTCAAAGTTTTTACTTACAAAAAAAATCAGATTCCAAATATATTTTTAGAAGGGATATCTTCTTTTTTTTTTTTTTTTGTCTTTTGTCTTTTTCCGTGTCCGGCAACGGATCGCAACCCTCAGTGTTGCCCCCGTACCGGACCGGGGACCGGCAACGGGATCGCAACCCTCGGTGTTGCCCCCGCGCCTCGCTCAGCCAGTGAGCGGGAACTGGTCTGCATGTGGGATCCGAACCCTCGGGCGGGAGTGCCGCCGCGCTTATCCAGTGCGCCACCGGGCCAGCCCTAGAAGGGATATCTTCTAATAGTCTTAATCTTACCTTCTTTATTGGTCTACTCAGGTTTTCTTCAGCATCTCAAATCAATTCTGATATTTTTCCTCAGGAAATAATTCTAGATATTTCAATATTTTTAAATACATATACTGTGTGTGTACATACATTCACAGTATATATACATATATTCACATACACACACTTTATATACATATAAACACTCCCATTACATATACATCGCATAGCAACTTATAATTTTTTAAATCCATAGCTGTCACTTTTGTGACATATAGCTGTAATTGTGTCACTTTTCTTATTTGCATTACTTGATCAAAAGTGCCAAGGTCTTGACTTTTAAAAGAAAACAGCTTTGGCTAAAGTCTACTTTTTTATTGTTTATACCAGTGCTGACAATGGAAGTATGTGAGCCACACAGACAATTATAAAATTTCCATCAGTCACATTTAAAAAACAAAAAATGGTGAAATTAATTTTAATGTATTTTACTTGAACAAATATATCTAAAATATTATTTCAATATGTACTCACTACAAAAAATTGAGATCCTTACCATTCTCTTTTTAGAACTAAGTCTTCAAAATTTTGTGTGTACATGTATTTTACATTTAATGTCATTTTAATCTGGACTAGTCACATTTCAAGTGCTCAATACCTCAATTTTGAGTGCTCAACATGTTGCTAGTGACTACCATATTAGACACTGCAGGTCTAGGTCATTAATTTGCACATTTAGTTGTAGTAATTGCTTTCTTTTACTCATTCTTTAAACATATGAAGTGCCTACTATGGGACAGGTACTGTAATAGATATAGAGAAGTGAACTAGATAAAGTCTGGACCTTCAATCTTAACTTCCTGAATACATTATAGTGTATTTAATATCCCACTGTGTAGAGCTTTGGCAACATCCAGGTTTTGATATGTAGATATATTTTTTAAAATCATTCACTTCAAACTAGTTATAATTTCATGGTTAATTTTATCATTAAGAGAACATTATAGAAAATTTCAAATACATAAACGTGGAAAGAATAGCAAAAACAAATAAAAACCAAGTACCAAAGACTCAGCTTACCATCATTGTGACAAATTTGTCATCCATCCACACTTTTCTTTTGTGTGAGCATATTAAAGGACATTCCAGACATATCGCCTTATGTGTACAAACTACAGAATTTATCTCTAACAAAGACATTTTGTACATAACCACAATGCTATTCTCAGACCTAACAAAAACAGTTTCTTAATATTATTTAATACTATAATATTCCCATTTTCCCAACTGTAAAAATGTCTTTTTTACAAGCTTTTTCAACTCACGATCTAAATAAGAACCACTCTTTCATTGCATTTCATTGATGTCTCAAGTCTCTTTCAATATCTAAGATTTCCAACTCCCTTTTTTCAATGCCATTTTATTGGTTGAGAAACCAGGTCATTCCTCTTGTATAATTATATACATTTTAGGTTTAACTGTTTCTTGATGTCATATAACTTTTCTTCCATTGTCTGAATTTTCTCTAAACTAGTAGTTAGATCTTGAGGCTTAATTAAATTCAGGTTCAGTATTTTTTGCAAGACATGTATATCTCATTGTATCACACTAGGGGGCACATAAAGTTTTACTGTCCTACTTTTTGTGAGGTTAAGATTGATCAGTAAGTTCGGATGTTGTTAGCCTGATCTATTTACTGTAAAGTTCAGGTCAACCTTTCACTTAATGGTCTTAACCTCTACTGGGAGTCATGCCTAGATCCAATATTTTATTATGTGTTCCAAAATCGTTTTTCTAATAGAATTTCCTAATTCTATAATTCTCTCTGCATTAGCTGAATTCTCTAATAAAGAAGAACTTTACTCATCAACTTCTTGTTGCCCTGAAATACAGTTCATACAGGAAATATAGGCTAAATGACTTTTCTTTCCCTTTATTTATCAATTTTCAGAATGAGTTGGTGCCCTGGCAACCTTCATAGGTATACTACACAGTTGGAAGAATAAAGAGATGATAACATGTAAGGTCAAAAGCTTTTCCACATCCACTGAATGAATTTCCTAAAGTTTAACACGGATTGAATGGTGATAAAAAAAAACCTTCTATTAAATTAATTAGTCTTTCCTTTAAATAAAACCTCTTACGCTGTTATCAGCAAGAAGCAAAAGGGATTCTTACATTCAAAAACTTTTCCTTTATATTTCCTAATATTCCTTAACACAAAATTCATAATGGAAGGGTTCTATAATTATTAAGTTACATTATGAATTCGCTGATGGTAAGTAAGGTGTGAATGCTGTCTAAAGGCCTTCTTACATTCCTTACATTTGTATGGTTTCTCACCAGAATGAATTCTCTGATGTTGAATAAGTGATGAATGAAGTCTAAAGGCCTTTCCACATTCCTTACAGTCATAGGGTTTCTCACCAGTATGAATACTCTGATGTTGAGTAAGTTGTGAGAGCAGTCTAAAAGTCTTCTCACATTCCTTGCATTTATAGGGTTTCTCACCAAAATGAATACTCTGATGTTGAGTAAGTTGTGAGAACAGTCTAAAGGCCTTCCCACATTCCTTACATTCATAAGGCTTCTCTCCAATATGAATGCCCTGATGTGAAATGAGTTCTGAATAACGACGAAAGAACTTCTGACATTCTTTACATTCATAAGGTTTCTCGCCAGTATGAATTCTCTGATGAAGAGTTAGATGATAGCCACGACTAAAGGTCTTCCCACATTCCTTACAATCATAGGGCTTCTCACCAGTGTGAATTCTCTCATGGAGAGTAAGTTGTTGCCGCACTCTAAAGGCCTTCCCACATTCCTTACATTCATAGGGTTTTTCACCAGTATGAAGTTTGTGATGTATTCGAAGACCTGTACTACACAGAAAAGCCTGTCCACAATCTTTACACTCATAGCACTTCTCAGCAATGTTAAGTCTCTGATGTCGGGTAAGATGTGCATACTGTCTAAAGGTCTTCCCACATTCCTTACATTCATAGGGTTTCTCGCCAGTATGAATTCTTTGATGGAGATTAAGTTGTCCTCGCACTCTAAAGGCTTTCCCACATTCCTTACATTCATAGGGCTTCTCACCAATATGAATTCTCTGATGTACTCGAAGGTCTGAGCCACAGGTAAAGATCTTTCCACATTTTTTACATTCATAGAGTTTGTCAGAAGTATGAATTCTCTGATGCCGACTAAGGTGGGCACACTGTCTAAAGGCTTTTCCACATTCTTTACATTCATAGGGTTTCTCACCTGTATGAATCCTCTGATGGAAAGTAAGTTGTTGGCGCACTCTAAAAGCCTTCCCGCATTCCCCACATTCATAGGGTTTCTCTCTGTTATTACTTTTCTGACATAGAGTAAGAGATGTGAATTTTCTGTAAGTGGGCATTTTTGCAGAGGTGACTTTTGTCACTTGCCTGAAATATACCTTGTGAGGACCCTCCTGTCCCTCAGACTTTTTATATTCATAATCTCTTCTGTAAAAGGAGTCATCAAGTCCATTGCTTTTAATTCTTTCCATTATTTCCCACTGAGATAAATTCATTTCGTAAATACTCTTTTCTTGAAATAACATTTTAGTTTCATACCTGGATTCCAAATCTGAAAGAGAACAAGATAAACACATGATATTTTCCTATTTTAGACAAAATAAATAAGCAAATAAAAACCCTGTAACAGAAAAAAACAAAAACAAAACAACAAAAAATAAAGCCCAGTTAAAGTACATGGGCAAAAAAACTCTAAAATAATCATGTAATTTGAAAAAAGGCTGAGAGGAATAAAGAAAATAATGAGTTAAGACTAGATTATTTGGATGCAGATCAAAGTTTGAGAATCCCTACTTAAATTTTTTTAATGATTTCTCTTTTCAATTAGAATAAAGTACAAATATTTTATCATGAATAATATGATCTCTGTTTACCATAAGATATCAACTCAAGCCACTGTTCCCCTTGCTCCCCATGTCTCCATGACACTTGCTTCCTTTACGCTCCAAGAACATGTCACAATCTTTCCATTTCTTAGAGGTTTACACTGGCTAATAAATCTCCCAGGATTCCTGACTTGAATTTGCATGGTTGAGTTTCTTTCACCCATCAGGCACCATCTTAAAAATCAGAAAAAATCCTTTATTTTCCATCCCAATCACTTCTTCTTTGCTTCTTAATACTCTTCTCAATTTTGTTGTTATTCATTAATTTCCCCACTTATTATTCTCTTTATTTCCTTACCTTAAACTTCCCCCAAAGCAGAAACAATTTTTCACTCACCACTGAGTAACAAATCCATCATACAGGTTAAGCATCCCTAATCTGAAAATCTGAAATCCAAAATGCTCCAAAATGAAACTTTTTGAGCACCAACATCACATTCAAAGGAAATGCTCATGGGAGTATTCCAGATTTTGGATTTTCAAATTAGGGATGCTCAACTGGTATGTATTCTGCAAAATATTCCAAAATCTGAAAAAATGAGAAATCTGAAACACTTCTGGTCCCAAACATTTCGGATAAAGGATAACCGACATAAGTTAACAATTATTGAATATGTTACCCTGCCTCCAATCTTACATCTTAATACATTCATTAAATAGTCTCTTTTTATCACTTACTACAGAGATGGGAAACCAACACCTTTAAGCTATCTCAGTCAGATATATAAATGGAAAATAGTGATTTCTTTATACTTGATTATACTTCTAGTTGCCTCTCCATTTATACTTGCAGATATCTGCACTGCACCTCAATTACTACTTTGCATAGTCATGAGTGAAGTCTGTCCCCCTTTCACAACCAAGCTAAAGAGAGGCTCTACTTACTTACATTCACTTGAGTTTACATAACTAAACACACCTATGTTGCAAATACTTAACCTGTTTTGTTCCTTCATAACCATCCCCATATCTTCCCTAAATTCCTCATAGCCAAGGTCATTTGGGTACTTCCTAGAGAGTATTTTAGTGAGTTTTCAGGTATAATACCATATTAAAAGGCTAATAATATTCTGAGAAAAGAGATGTTTTTCTCAAACGTGTATTTTCTCAAAATTTCTACAATAAGAGTTTCAATACTTTTTAAAAAGAGAAATAAATTTTTGAAAATCTATAATACAGCAATGCTACTTGTAATATGTCCAAACTGGAAAGAATCCAAGTCTTCATCAATAGAAGAATGGCTAAGTAAATTACAGATATTAATACAACACAATGCTTTATAACCCAGAATGAACAATGCACAACTACACGCAACAACAAGGACCAATCTCACAAGCAGAATGGTGAGTAACAAAGCCACACATAAAATAATACATACTGTATGATTCCATTTTTATAAAGTTTTAAAACAATAAAACTAATCTATAGTGGTGTAAAAAATCAGGATAGTGGTTACCCTTGGTGGGAGGAATCACTGAAAAGAGTCCGGAGGGGGCTTCTGGTATCCTAGAAAAGCTCTATTTCTGAATCTGTGCATTGATTAGATGGGAGCGATCACTTTGTGAAAATTCACTGAGCTACACACTAATAATTTGTGTATTTTTTTGTATGTATATTTATATTTCAATAAGTTTCTTTCTAAAAGCATATGTTAAAAAGATATTAAAAGGCAACAATAATTTAAATAGTGTGGATAAAATGTGAGCAGACATACATAATGAATAGCATAGAAAATACTGCTATGAAATCTGTGTGCTTCTTTCTCTCTCTTTCTCTGTCTCTGTCTCTCCACCAAAGAAAGCAATAGAAAAGTATGGCAATTTTCTAGATTTTTGGGGAGAAAGCCAACTTAGGGCCTAAATAAGAAAAATAAAATATAAATGATATGTATAAAATGACCAAAATTAGCTAAATAACGGAAGTAAATAACTAGGCAGTTATAAAGATATGAAAAATTTTAAGACATAAGATGATAATTTCAAAGGATTAAAAAAAACAGTGGATTAAAAAAAACAGTAATCTAAAAGCGAAGT